TTTGTGAAGTCCACAAGATACCCAGGTGGGATGGGGTGGAGGGTGTGGTGTTTGTTTGCGTAGTGCACCTCCTGCAGCCTTGAAGTGGAATGGTCTCCAAAACAGTGGGCACAAATCCACACGGAAATGATCAAGAATCACATCCACCCATTTCCATTTGAGCGTGTCACTTTTAGACAGTACCCTCTTTTCGGGTTGCTTCAAAGCGACACCAAATGGAACCCATTTCTCGAGGCATGAATGACCAGCCCATCGGCATCACAGGCACAGGTGGCGCGCGTCTCAGTCTCGACAGAAGTGGAATCAGGATCCGCATCCGAAGCTGGACAAATTAGAACCAGAGAGGGTAAAGCGGAGCTCACTCACGAAGGCCGCGGCCCAAGATGTCCGGATTTGTGATGCAAGAGCTGCATGATCATCTGTGTCACTTGTTGGCTCCCGTGAAATGTTACCAACCAGACGTCCGCTGAATATCATTGCTGGACCCTTCGAAATAGTGGCCCTTGGGTCTCGTTGGTTGAGGGCCCCTGGTTTTCATTGTGACCACCAGGCCGCTTCTTTGGTCAAGAAAAAACCAAAGGGAGCGGAAGTCGAGAAGGTAGCAACAAGCATGTTCTTGGTACTTTTGACGGGTCTTTAAGCGGGTCAGACGAAATGACGATATTGACCAATACCCAGTGCTTGCAAGGGTCTTGGACGCTAAGTCAAGAAAGGGTACCCGGTTCAATTGGGATAGTGAGACTTCTATGTTCTACTCCGTAAGTATGGATCTTATGTAGTGAGAAGTCAAACTGCGGGGGAGGGTACCAACCCACATATGAGATATAGAAGGGCGTTTGCTTGGCTGCACTTATCCTCCAGGCAAGCGCACGTACGTATTTATCTTCATGGTTTTGAACCAAAGGTCTTCTTCTCCCTAAACCCAGTCCCTTGAGAGAGAAATGTAACCCTTCCTAACATGAAACTTTCATACAAACCTTCAGACCACCCCGTGACCTACTATGAACCCTCATCTTTTTGCTGTTCTATAGACTTCGCGGCATTTCGTTTGTTCCCTTCCACCGACCTCTCAGTCCAGCAGGTCAGGTGGTTTCCGCGGTCAGCAAGATCAACGCCATCCTGCAGGACCTTGCCCTTTGACCGCCTGAGCTGCGGGTTTGGGTCGGCTCGAAGACCTTGCCCCAGGGCTACAGTCGAGAACGGATTGCTTGTGAAAGGGCAGGACCCCTTTTTGCGGTTTCTGGAAAAAGGAGGGCTCAGAAGAATGGGGTTCAAGCTGACTCTCGTTTCAGATTTCCTTGGTTACTTGTAGGTGATTCGGCTTGATGAGGTTGTGAAGCCTCTCTTGTGGAAGCTGAAGCTGCCTTCCAGCAACACCACCAATAGACGCTGGAAATCAGATGCGTATGTCAGCCATTTGCAAGATTCAGACGATAATGTTTAGAACGGGGGACCCCGCACTTGTGGTTTTTCTTGCGGCTTCCCCTCAAAAGACATCTTTGCACTCCATGCTGATCAGGGAAATACGCCTATATGCCGAGGAAATGCCGCCAGAGCATGGAGATCCACCTTTCTCACTTCCGTCCAAATTACCTTTGTTCTGGTGCATTTGGGCGGGACCAGGGGACGAAACTTGGTGCGTGTCCCGAGGCACGAGTCGGCAATGGAGATCCAGCTTTCATATCGATCGGCTTGTTGCTTGTTTTTGAGTTGCTGCCCTGGGTTTGGGGGTTTCGCAGGACATGAGGAGTAGACTTTTCGAAGCCCACTCCGCGGGTCCCCCGAAGGGGCCAACCTGCTTGACCTGGAATACTCCCATGCCTGTTCCGTTGATGGGTGCTAGGCCTTTTTCCAGGCAGCAATCATAGGTGTTGCTAGTTCGGTTTGGCTGGCCTTGACTAGGGCTGTTTCGCACCGCAGCATGTTTGCTTGATGCTTTGCCCGATCTGTGAAAGGCTGCTAATTCCATGTCTGAATTACTCTTTGACCTGGAGATGGATTACAAGCCTTTGCTTTTGGACCAATTTGAAGGTGGTTTTCCTTTTGGTCGGATCTACTTCCCTTCAGACCCTCGGCCTTAGGTCTCGAACCGTACGAGCCGGGGGTTTCATCTTTTGGTCCAAGCGGTTCATGTGTTTCAATCCCACCCCGGGGTCGTGTCCCCTCGTTGGGCTTTGGGGGGGCCCTGAGAATCTGAGAATGGGAGGTAAGGTAAAGAGCCTTGGGTTTCGGCCGTTTTTCGGGGTGTAACCTTGGGGGTTCTCAACCCATTCGCTTGTCGCGTCGAAGTCGTTCACACTTTGAGGCCGACCGGGGCCGCCTGCAGCCCACAGATTTCCGGTACCGCCCCGGCGCGGTGCGCGAGGAAGCCGCACACACGGGGTCTGGGCTGGGAAGCGCCGAGCGATTTGAGCTCAGATGTCTCAAAGGAATCAGTCCCCTAAAAATGGGAGGGTGAGTAGCCCCGAGATTCCATGGGAAGCCTTGGATCAGCCTGGCAGATTGGGAGGCAGGCGAACGGGAGCTCATGAATTCCCCAGCTCAAAGCTGAAAGCTATGGAGCTTTCTCGGAGGCCATCTGTGAATCGCCGGTGATGCCAATGACAGCGCTGGTTTCTCAAACCCAGCGGTGCCGATGATGCTGGTGATGGAGCTGTCGCGACGCCTGTGATGCTTTTCGCATGATGGCAATGCTGGATACGGGCTGCTGCTGCTGCTGATGATGATGATGGTGGTGGTGGTGATGATGATGATGGTGATGATGATGACGATAGTGATGAGCGTGAGTGCGAGTGTGCTGGCGCCAAGGATGTTGGCATGATGCTAGGTTTTACATGGGCCGACCCGGGATGATTTGAATGGATCACTTGCCGATGTCCTTTGAACAATCGCCACTTTGGCATTGGGTGGACTAGTGAAATGAACCGTTGACAAGTCATCAATGATGAATTCCCCAATGGCAAACTTGAGATACTCTCTGGCCATTCAGCATGGAACTCTTTGTAAACATGAGGGCTTTCTGCAAGAGAGTATTTGGGTAGCCCTTTGGGCCGGTCAAGTGGTGCGTTCCTCAGCGCCGCTCAAAAGGTGTAATCTTGGGCTTAGTTATTCCTTCTTTGGCAATGAGCCAGGCTGGGTGACAGCAACAGATTGAAGGTGGGGCGCACCCCGAGTTCGTGAGTTGTCCCTTTCCAAGGCCTCCAACAAATTGACAGTTCCCGGCAAATTCGCCAGTGAACCGCAAGAAGGGAAACACCAGCGGCCGTCTGCTCGATGTTTTTGGGGCCGGAGCCGGCCGTGCGCGAGGAGAACACCAGCTTTGGAGGCCCGCGGCCGGCGCCCACAGGAGGCCGAGCGCGACCAGATTCTTTTTGTTTTGCAGCTCACGAGGGGAACAACGAGCTCCATGAAGGTCACTGGTTGAGGGGTTTCCCTTTCCATTTTTCCCGTGAATGAAATTTGATCAGAGGGATGTGGGGAGCACATGTGGGGAAATATGGGCAAGGAGATGTTCTGTCGGGTGAGAGTTGGTGGCTCAATGTGGCGTAGTTTGCTTGTCGAAGATCGCGCCTAAACAGATATTCACAGCTTGATTCGCCAGAGTCAGCAGGTGCCCAGAACCCTCCAACAGGAACAGCTCTGGTTTCGGTCCGGTTTGACCACTCCGCCAGAGATGGTTGCCGCCTTTGTGTACCAGGTCTTCTTGAAATGAAGGGGCTGTTTCAAACAGAGGTATCCGGCATCAGGTGCTGGATCGGTTGGTTATACGGGTGCTTTGTCAATAGCTACCCTTGGCCCCGTGGCCAAGCAATGAGCATGTGACCGTAGGGCAGCTAGTGACTTACCGATGCTCAGATGGTTTGTCTCCAAATGGGGGGGGGGGGGGGGGCGGGCACCAAATGGTCTTACTTTCCGTTCTTTTTTTTCTTTTCTTTTTTCATCCGATAACAAAGTGGCTTTCCTCGACACCCAAAGCTGCTATGGTGGTGGGAGTGGTGCTCCGAGCGATTGGTCGTTTGTTGAGGGCAACTTTGGGGCTCGCGGCAAGCGGAAGGCTTTGCGAAGACAGGAGGCGACCTATGGAAGACAAAAAGAGGAAGAAGAAAGAGAAGAAGAACGAGGAGAAGAAGAAGAAGAAGAAACAGAAGAAGAAGAAGAAGCAGAAGTAGAAGAAGAAGACAAATAATCACAATAATAGTAATAATAATAATAGTAATCATAATCATAATAATAATGATAATGATAATGATAATGATAATAATAATAATAATAATAATAATAATAATAATAATAATAATATTAATAATAATAATACTAATAATAATAATACTAATAATAATAATAATAAAATAATAATAATAATAATAATAATAATAATAATAATAATAATAATAATAATAATAATAATAATAATAATAATAATAATAATAATAATAATAATAATAATAATAATAATAATAATAATAATAATAATAATAATAATAATAATAATAATAATAATAATAATAATAATAATAATAATAATAATAATAATAATAATAAGCATAATAATAATACTAATAACAATAATACTAATAATAATACTAATAATAATACTAATAATAATAATAGTAATAATAATAATAATACTAATAGTAATAATATTAATAATAATAATAACAATAATACTAATAATACTACTACTACAAACAATGATAATAATAATTTGGCAAACAAGGAGGAAGGAGTATGATCATGCAACCATTCTCAACGTTTGATATTTCTACGTGTGCTGTTTTCGTTTCACCAAAATACAAGACAGCTGTGATATGCTGTGCTCAAACATGATCATCTTCATGCGGCCGAAAACGAGCACCCAAAGATGTTATCACAACCCAGCAGCCCCCCCAACGCCCCCAATCCCCCGAACCCCCCCAACCCCCCCAAACGCCAATGCCCCCAACACCCCCAACACCCCCCAACGCCCCCGGAGCCAACCGCCGGTGCCGTGGAGATGGGAGGCAACCCGCGGACCAACGCCAAGTTCGTAGTGGCCACGCAGGCGACTCGATTCGGAGAGCTCCCGAGGCTCAGCTCTTTTCTGCCTTGAAAGGACTTGGGTTTAGGTCCCAAAGAAACTGTCGTTTGTTTGGTGTGTTTGTTTGGTGTGTTTGTTTGTTTGTGTGTGTGTGTGTGTGTGTTTGGTTTGGGGAGGAATTCATTCCCCATTTCTTTCCTGGTTTTGAGGGGACCTAGCGTGTGCTTCGGCTCTGCTTTTGCCCCGTTGTGCATAGTGTTAGGGAAACCAGAAGGAAGCCGCTTTTGGATTCCATGTGGGTGTGTCTTGCTTTTAAGGGGTTTGTCCTTTTGGTTTCCCTATAAAGCACAAAAAGACAAACCCACGTATGGAAACGCCAACTTATTCTCGCCTAGTTTAACCAGGCCACCAGGGGGTGTGTGTGTTCGACCCTCTCTTTTTTTCCGGTGCGTGGAACCTGCTCTTCTCTCTGGTGAAACGTTTGCCGGGTGGATTCAACCAAAGACTGCTCGTCTTGCGAATTGCTGCGGATCTTATGGCATCGACCCGCCCAAATCGGAACTCAAAGCGGCCAAAGGAGAGCCACACCAGCGGGCTGCAGGGTGGAGCGTTGTCGCATCCTGTTTTTGCCTGGTTCGACAGGCAAGGAATCAACCGTCAGGGTTTTGGAAATAGCCGGACTTGTTGAGGTATTTACGGCACCGGTAGCACCTGGGGGATTGGAACTGCCACTTTGATGGCCCGACCAGGTCTGAAACTGTCCGAGTAGCATTGCGGTACTCCATACCATCGCCTAGGGTTTTGGGAATAAACCAACGGATCCCCTTACGGCGACATATAAGGGCTGGCTTTTTCTGGTGTCATGCCAACTCATTCCCTGCTGACCGGCATGGTGCACATGGAACCCAAAAGCCCAAACAGACATCCTTTCTAGAACCACCAAGCAGGAATGCTCCTTTGTGGGTTTTCATGTGAATGGTCCATCCTTTTTGAAAGCTCCAAAAAGGGGGGTGAATGGTTTCTGGGGCTATCCCAACTTATTCCATTCAAATCGCGTTCAGGTGGCCGGGTGGATCATCGGCAAGCAGGGCCGGCACATCCGGGAGCTCCAGGACCATCCTTGCGCCTTGGGCAATGAAAGGAGTCCCTTTGGTGGACGGAAAACTTTGGGTCGACCAACACACGTTGTGGCAGCAGGGGAGTTGATTTTTTCTGATTCGGCGTATGGTCCGGGTCTGCAAGCAAACTTCAAGCCAGGGCATGCAGAAATCTAGACTGCGCCCGCCAGTTGCAAGTGCGGGATATGTGGTGTGTGCGTGTGTGCGAGTGTGTGTGTGTGTGTGTGTGACACGTGGCTGGCTGCCACGTTCTGATTTCCGGGATTGCAGGGGGCTGGAGTGTGCTTCAGATGTCTCCAGCCAACGAAGACGCATCTGTTGCGCAGTGATATGGTTTGAGGACGCTCAAACCACGCAACTTCCGAAATGACCAGCTTTTTGCTGACCCAATTTCTCTCTCTCTTGTGTGATGTTGCTGTTGCTGTTGCTTCACCGAATTGCTTTTGGAAGCCTCGCGCGGACCGCCCTGGGAACTTCCTCGACTACATAGGTGGCTGGGCGGGCAAACAAACCTTTCCAATTGAGTGTGTGTGTGTGTGTGGCTACTGATTCCACTGATGTTCTCCAGAACGATACAGGAAAGCTAGGGGGCTATGGCGGAGTCTCTTTGATGAGTATTTTCCTGGTACCAGCATGTCTATTCGCGTTGGAATATTTGTTGACGTGCTTGTGTGGACTTTTTTGAATCATGAGTGGTTTCACGAATTCGATTCCACCAAGGTGGACCTAGACCTATTGTGTGCTGAAACACTGACCGCTCGCGTGATCAACCATCCGCGAATCATTTGTACTATGATTTTGTCTATAAGTACTGCAGGTAGAAAGCCGCACAGGTAGATCAGCTTGTAGAGTGGTTTATAGTTCGTTTGGGAGGGACATATGGGGCGCTCCCTAATTGTCCCACCAAGCCCAGTCACTCAATTGACCATGTCCGTTTCGTGAACCACACAATTTCACCGTGGCTCATGTCTGTCTGTCCAGAGTTCGAGTGCAACAAAATGTGAAATTGAGCAACGCACAGCCTCTGGCTGTGGTTGGATCCGACTTTGAATCGACGCCAGCACCAAGTGTTGAAGCGGCTGATTTTGCAATTGGAATGTCATGAGACAAGAATTTTCGCTATGGTGGCCGCCCAGTTTTGGGCCATGGCCAGTGCAAGCTCTTCTTTCCTTCACTCCAAGACCTCCCACCCAGGCACCAAAGTTTGACCAGCGAGTTGGCAGGACAACAGCGGGGCACACATCCAGGTGCTCAAGGAGGGTGAGGCCTGGGACCCCGCCTGGGGGCGAGCTGAGAGGCATTTGGTGAGCTTCGGTTGATTTTGTGCGGGTTGGTTTGATTCATTCTAGTCTTTTTTTTTGTCCGGTTTGTTCATGCCTTTGCAGGTGGCTTACTGGGGCTGTGAGCTTGAGGTGGAGCAAGCAGCCGTTTGCAGCTCGCGGTTAAAAATCCTCGTGATTTGCCCAGTTCGGGGCGAATGACCCGAGGTGGCATCAAAAAGCAAAAGCAAGTCGGTCTCCGATGAATTGGGGGGATTGAACCAGCATCTTGTTCCGGTGGCTGCAGCGAGCTCTGTGAGAGGGGGAAGCCTCTTCCCCTTTCGATTGTTTGCCGCTGAGCCACGTGCGCGTCAAGCATTTGTATGGTCTGTGTCCGCGACTTGGGCTTGGGCATCTGGGTGTCGTGTTTTGTCGAGGGTACCTTTTTGGGTGGCATAAAGGGAAATCAACAGGACCAGGGGCACACTCATTCCGTCACCCAAAGGATATGATCTTGTTTGTTTTGTTTTGCTGGATGGCTGATCTGATCCTTTTCATGCAGCTCTTATGGGTGTGTGTTGGTTGCGACATCGATCTTTTGCGCCAAGGAACTATTACCCAAACTGAGAAACTGTGAGGATTGTTTTTTCCCATTAATATCACAGAACTGTTGTACTTCCAACAGCTCCCGGTCCCATCATATCATTGAGGGTACCTTGTTTGGAGTGGTTTTAAAGAGAACCCAAAGGAAAACCAGCTATTCCTGGGGTGCTCTCTGTCAAGGGATACACACATGGCTGGGGATTTGTGTCCCTCTATGTTGCTGCATTCCCAATTATGGGAAGATTGTCCACTCCGGCCAAAAACTAGTGAACATGATTAAACATGATGAATCTGGTAATGGTGATAATGATGACATACAATTCAAGTGGTGGTGATGGTAGTCAGGTGGAACCCCCAGTTGAAACCCCATTTGGGAACTCTTAAAATGATCTCCCGGGCCGGAGTCCCGGTAGGTTCCCCCGGGTGTGCCGCCCAGCGACCGCATTGTGGAGATCGGGGGCCGACACGAGGCCAAGGCTGAAGGCGCACAGGGAGAGGAGCGAAGCTTGTCACAACTTTGGGGTAACCCACCTTTTGGTTGGCTTTAGCGGGAAACCATAAAGGAATACCAACCATTCCGGGCATGCCCCCATGTTAAGACAAACCCAGTTGCAGGGCTGTGGCCGCCGGTTTAACCACCAAGGGAAACTGTTGCCAGGTGGTTGAGACATATCATCTTGATTTCGGGGTTGTGCAACCAATGGTCATCCCATGCATCACGGACCTTTTGATCAACCCCCAAATAGGGTGACCACCCCAAAGGAGGTTTTCCTTTTGGCTTCCTGTTAAATCAACAAAAGGGGCACCCTTAAAGAACCACACGCCCATATGGGTGTGTGCGTGTGTGTGTGTGTGTGCGCGTGGTGTGTATGTGTGTGGGTGTGTGTGTGTGTGTGTGTGTGGGTGTGTGCGTGGTTGTTTACTTGATGGTGCCTTTGTGTGTTTGTGTGTCAATAAGGAAATCGGGTGGGCGTTACGCAGACTCGGTCTTTGAATCCATGCGCGGGAGGCCCATCTGAGGTCAATTTTCTGATCTAACCCAAGGAGTTGATCCCTCAAATTCCATTCAACCATGTTTTTCTGTTGAGCGATAGACAATTGAGGAAAGGAGGAATATGTTTTTGGATGACTGTGTTTGCAGCTCGCATGAGATGGTGTCTCCGTTTTTCTAGCGGACAGTCCATGTGGGCCGCCAGTGTGTTATCCTTAGCCAACCTTCTTGTGCCATGGTTTCTCCGTACCTTTCGTTCGGATTCTGGGAGTTTTTGAGGGCCCTCGGTCCGGTAATCAGATCGATATCGAGTGAAGTGCGATGGATCTGACTGAACGCAGCTGCCCTTAGCGCACTCCGCTTACAGCGTCATTTGGCGTGATGTTTAAAGGGGGAATGTAGAGCACCCTGCCTTACTCCAGTCTGAATTGACCAGCCAGGGATTCAGATCATCCTCATGGCCGTGGACAGCATGCCCGCCATGTCTGCTGGGAGCTGAGAAAAGGACGCATCTCAGATAGAGCCGCTGAAGTAAAAGGATTTGGCGTCCTTTGAAGTGAGACCGACAGGTGGTTGGTTGTACAGTGGTAATTAAGCATGTTGAAGCCGGGCATGCGGCAAACCTAGTTGTTTTCCCAAGGTCCGACCCGGCAAGCATGGATGCACACGAAAAGCAGGTGGGAGGCGGTGGTTTTGTGCACGGGACCGAACAGCGTTTGGGATTCCCTTAAGCGGCCGAAGCCAGCACCCTCATTCAGCTTTCTACTTTTTGGTCCAAGAGGGTTCGGCGAATGCCAATATATGCATCGTGCGGTCACCAGGAAGTATCACAGCGCTTGATCTGACAATTCTTGGTAGTCTGCTGTTCGGCCTACCCCAATTGATAAACACATCCTGGGAACAAACTGTGTCCGTAGCTGTACCTGCGAAGAAACCTGCCAGAACACCGTTTGTTTTTTTTCCCCTGCGACCAGTCAGCCAGTCGGTTGGTGTGTTGGTTAGTCGGTCAACTATGAAATCTCTAAAGGGATCAGGGCGCGTTGTTTCCTTCCCTCACCTTCTACCAATGCCGGGCAGGCCGGTAATGGACCTTTGAGTTTGGTCTTACGCCCCTTGTCACCCCAAAAGTGATAGCCTCCGCTCGATTCGGCAAGTGTTGAATGGCAAGTGAAACCACACATGAGACAAGTTTTCGTACGCTTTTGTATACAATGTGTACCTCCAAGAAAAGAAGTCAACAATCCCATTAAAATGGCACTTTTACGGTTGAGTGCACGGTGTCTTTGTGGCTTACCCTTTGTTGCTTGGTTCTCACAAAATAAGCTGCCGACCCAACAAACACACCAACCGCTCCAAGCGGAAAAAAACAACCAAAAAAAAACAAAACAAAAAAAAACACAGAGACACCAAAAAACAACCCGCCGCTTTTTCTTTCCCAGGCACCCCGGGAGACGCTGATGCTGATCCCCCGGCAGCTCACCAGCGAGGCGGAGGTCAAGGACTGCTTTCAGTGGGTTCGGAACCAGCCACCCCCGTGAGGTTGGTCGTGAGTTTTTTTTGGTTTAGTGGGGGGTGAAGCCATTTGGCTGTGGGTCAAAACCAGTGGGATCTTTGTTTACTCTCCCACCAGCTAACATGGAAGTGCACAGACCCCTGTAGAAAGACGACTTTCCTCTTGGAAACGAGTTGGGGGTGAAGCCATCCAACCTCGCTAGAAATTTACAACCTTTAGAACCTTTAGCGGTTTTTTGTTGGTGAGTTTGGTGGGGGGTGGAACCGGATTTAAGCCACAAGTTAGTCTCTATGGATTTCAAGGGAAGCCAAAAGGAAACCACATGGAGGAATCCGTATCTCCTTTTTGTTTTGAAGAAAGAATCGCAAAACACGAGAGGCCTTTTTTGGTTTCCCTTCATTTCCCTGTCAAGCAGCACTGTTTGCAGGTCAGGAATTGGCCAACTGGGTTGGGCTTGTCTTCCAAAATACCTGGGATAGGCAATACGTCACAGCCAGGGAGCCCATTCTGGGTGTACCTGGCATGTTTTTTGCCCATTCCCGTTTGGCTTAGCTATATCGCTGGGTCCAAGGGACACTTTCGGACCCCTGGTAGATATGGCCACGGGGAATTCCTATGTCCAAACGTGTCCCCCTCGCCAGAGATGCAGCTGAGCCGGGAAGCAGCCTTTCAACCCTTTGAACCCCTTTGAACCCCAGTCCAGAGTAGCTTTTGGGCCAAAGCCCAAAGCCACATTTTTGTTTGTTTGGGCTTTGGAGGAAAACCTCACAAGGCCACGATCTGCTGAACTTCTGGGCAGAAACGCGCCCCTCCAAGTGCTGAAACCGAAGGCCTGGGGCTTTGGCGAGGACGTGCGCCAGATGTCCGGCTGCGAGGTGGAGGTGCGAGACCTGCCGGCCCACGACGAGGCGACGACTTTGGAGAGGGAGGGAAGCCCTGGTCCTGACTTAGGCGGCCGAGACCTTTTTTTTTGTTTGAAATCCTGACTTACATAGGCGGCCGAGACCCTTTTTTGTTGTTTGTTTGGAATCTTTGGGGGTGCCACGACCATTTTTTTTGTTTGATGATTAAGGTCTTGGGATGCGAGGGAACAGTTACTTCCTGAATCCAGTCATTGTTTTTTAGTGTTGGTTGGGGGTTCGGACAGAGGATCCAATTTTCAGGTGTGTTGCGTAGGTGAACTCACGAAACCTTGGCGGGGTGCGCCGCAAGCCCATGAAGTGCAGTGATGCCAACTGGTTGGGTTCGATAGCAACGATGTGATCGAGCCACAGACACCTTTCCCCTCAGCAACTTGCGTTGAACAGCTCTACCATGGCCATTGCGGGCCTTTTGGCGCGTTTGACAGTCTCTACATGAGAGAATTCCCAAACGAGCGGTTTCCCTTGGAATTCTTCTTTGAGTCACCTCAAAACGGGTCTCAGGAAAAGCCGGCTGGCAAGTCTGAAATTGGGCCGGTTGCCCATGAAGCAAGCAAACCGAGAGACATGACACAGAAGAAGGACGAGTCGAAGTTGTTTGCTTCAGAGTAGGGCTTCTATTGGTAGCCCTGACAATCTTTGCGGGCAAGCAGCCGTTCAGGCTGAGGAAGTTGAGCCCCTGGATATGAGTAGCTGGCAGGGTCTGGGCGCCAGGGCTCCAACATGGCCCGCATTCTGATGACTGCTGCCCCTGTACACAGTAGAATCGGAAGAAGCAGACCCCCCACGCCTTCCGGGAGTTGGCTTTCGGTTTTCGCCAGGGGCTGTGCACCCTCCTCGGCAGCCTGGAGGCCCGTGTCAAGGCGCGGAGAGTGAAGCGAAGCGAATTGGTCAAAGGCAGCACCTGACGAATAAGAAGAAACAAGCAAGTGGCAGCGAAAAACAAGGGGGTCACCCCCCCATTCTTGAAGAGTTGGGAACCCAAACTCTTTTTGAAGAAAACACAACACAGAGCTGAGGGCATCTCTTTAGACCTCATTGGACTTGGTGCTTTCAAGCTGAACAGCTTTTTCCCCATGAGCCACGTGCTCAACACCCGGGTAGATGAAGGTTAGTAGGGGATGTATCTACATATATATACACACAAAGTATACATTCCTAAGCTGGGTGCCCTCGCATTTTATTTTTTAGGTAAAAATATTGAAGCAACGTTCTGGGGTCCATTTGGATGTTCTTTTCCTACCAGGTTTTGCTGACTCGGTTTTGATTCTGACGGCGACGTGTGAGGCCGCGCAGCAGTTCCTCAAGCGCCTGGAGGAGGCCGCACCAAGGGAGTTTTTTTTTTTTTTTTGGTGTGTGTGTGTGTGTGTGTTGTGGGCAGGAAACGAGGAGATCGTAGTGGTAGTATGTATTTCATTTATTTATTTGTTTGTTTGTTTGTGTATTTATCTATATATACATACATATATAAATAGATATGTATGTGTATGTGCATATATATATATGTATGTTGAGCATTGGCGTTTAAGCACATATTCCATCATTACCGTACCGCCGGTTGCAAGTCACTTCCGGGAGCTACCAAAAATCCAAATTAGGAGCTCGATGTGTTTTCTTTTTTGGAGGCGAGCCCAGCCAGGAAGGTTCCTGTTGCTGCAGGTCGATTCAGGGGGTTGACTGGGGGGCATGGGTTGAGATGGTTGGTTTCTGACAGTAGCAAACATGGGCTTAGGTGCGACATTGGGAGTTGTGGGTATATTGGGGGTTATACCAGAGACGCATGGAACGGCATCAAAAGAAAAGTTCTATGGTGGGCCTGATTTTTGTTGTTATCTCCAAATACAATGATCAAGACAACATGTATTTGGGGCACTCTTTTGCGCCTTCTTGGATTGATCACACATCGCATTTTTCCCCAAGTCAGTGAAAAGCATCACGCCTAAGAATGGCTTGGAGCCCTTGGTACAAGGATTCCTAAGGCTTGCACTTGAGTGTGACCAAAGTCACCTTTAGCCTTTCGGGAAATGACAAACGAGAGCTCAAAGTGTTCGGTTCGATCGAGGCTTGGCCGTCGCGTCCTGTGCGTTCGATCCAGGCCCAGAGAAAGTGGGTCTGAGTTTCCTGAAAGGATATTTTGAGGTTCAATCCCATACTCATTCAGCCCAACCGAGCCACGAACCAAACCATTCATGTGCCCATAGCTCCCCTCTTTGGCTCTGAATCAGAAGGACCAAAAGCCGGGTTTCTTGCTGGATGTTGCAAAGGTAGAGGCCTGGTCTTTGTTTTTGGTTTTTTCTTTCTTCAGGAAAAAAGCGCCTGGGCCAAAGTGCCTCTGGTTGCCGCACAATTGTGAGAACGCAGACTGTGACACGAGCTTTGAGCATGCTCATGTGCGTGTGTCTTTTTAGGGGACCCCCAGATTGGTGGTGTTCCTTTTGGTTTCCCTAGAAAGCCACAAAAGATGCAATACTGACTCAAAAAAAAGACAATGACTCAATGGTCTGAAATTTCTGGATCACATGGAGCCTTGTTCCAAAGAAGGGGCTCAAGGGTACGTACCTGTTTTCCAGTTTGTTTTTAGGGGGTAGAGACTCTGCAGAATATCGGGTCAATACTGGCCAGGCTGTGTTGATAATTGTGCTTTTTGTTGTTCAAGGTCCAGGCGGTTCCACGTGCAATGGTTTGGATTTCATTTCCGTCAAGGGCGCCTCGGGCCCCTTTGCGTGCAGCTGGTTTCGTCAGGTGGTGGGCGACGGCAGCTTTGTGGCGGAGAAGGCCCCGACTGCTGCGGCACCAGCGAGGCCGTTCGGGGGTGCCGGGGCTGCCAGGCAAATTGAGGTTGAGCCTGCAAAGTTGGCGAGCAGTGTCAGCTGGTTCGGTGTTTGATATGAGCTTGCAGCATTTCGCCAAAAAGATGGACGCGTTTTTTTCTTTGTTTGGTGAGTGAAGAAAGCAGATCCGAAAGAAGCAAATGACCTAGGCAGAGTAATCACAGTTCTCCGTGGTTCCTTCCAAGCACTCGCAAATCCCTCGTTTTGGCTTGGCCCATTTACTCTATTTGGTTCTCTACCGTGGAGAAGGGGAAGCTGATCTCTCCCCGGATGTTCGAGCCTGAGGGTCGCTCGAGCTTGGAAATGTGAAGGGCTCCACATGCGCTTCGAACACCAGCTTTGTAAACGCTGCCTGGTGCTCAAGGCGAATCTCGTCTCATTTTTTCCGCGATGAAGCCCCAGAAGTCCAGAGTCTGATGGCTCGGGTTCCATTTTGTGCTTGAAGATGACAGCGTTCTCGGGAGGAAGTCGCACAAGTGACAGTTTCATTGGGTCCCCCCTGCAAATTGCAACTCTGACCCCTGTTAATTGTGGCGGACCTTTCCTTGCGACTTTGGGGCCTATGGGTCCAATCAAGAGGAAATTGGTTGAGCGGAGTCTCCATTGGTGCTTTCCGCAAGTCGGCAATTGAATATGTCGTCACCTGCCTCCTTGCTTTCTTGGGCTGGTTCAAAACCAATGTGCAAGATCATTGGTTTTCCTTGTGGTGTCCCAGGGATGGCGAATTTGGATTTAGAGATGCCCTACTTTGAACACCCACAGTTTTGAAGTTTCTGGTCGAGGCTTTCTTCTTTTTCTTCTTCTGTCGGTGCCCTGATTTCAACTCCATTTTCGCCTGCCCTCGCCCTCGCAGCTTGAGCTTGCCCCAACTTGTGCTTTTGGCCCCGGCCCCGATTTCTTTAAGTTGAAGTCGGTGTCAGGTCCTTTCCGGAGAAGCCCGAGGCTCGATCCCCGTTCGCCGGGCTTCGGCCGCGAAGATCGGGGATCGATGCCTTTCAGGGCGAGTTTTTCCAGGAACTCGTTGCGAGGGAAAGGCCGCGCGAGTTCACGGGTCTCCCTTGGATGGCAAAGGGAATCCCAAAGAAGACGTTCAACAGCACGTGGAGGCCGCCCCGATTTCAAGGACACGCCTGAGGTGTTTTGCCAGCATGCCTTGAAGCAATGGCAGTGGACTTGGTTTTTCAAGCAACCTGAAGGATTTCGCGAGATTCTTCATTGCACATGTGTCCTTTCCAAACGATTGTTGCCAACATTTGTCAATATTTTGCCATCGTTTGCCAGATTTGGCTGACACTTGCCACGTATTGCCAACAACCAATCAAATCGCATACGGACTCCCTAATTCAGACCCTTTGATTGAATTGCTGACACGAGATGCTACCAGGGACAAAATGGAAGGCATGACTTCGGATCTAGAGTTTTGAGCTTCAAGACCCTTTATGAGGCGATTGCTAAGAGGGGTGGGTTGTGGACATTGTTTGCTTTACTTGGTTCGGGGGTACAGGGTTGACCTTTGACCACAGGGAAAAACAAACACTCCGAGGGGTTCTACGCTGGCGTACTGTCACAAGAACGGGGCATTGGCAATGCCTGCAAACGCATTGTCCATGTCGTTCGACACATTTTTGGGATCGACATGGTTAGCTGGTAGGCTCTGCCTGCAGAGGTCACTATCCAACAGGAACGAGGTGTTTGGTTCCCCTAGTGCCTCATCTCGACGACACTGGCGAACTCTTTAGCTCAAACGCCGATTTTGCGACCTGGTTCTGCAGTGCGGCAATCTGTTCTGCTGGGGTTACCGTTCCGTCTAAGAGGTCATCAATATTGCAGACAGGCCATGTTTTTCAGTGTGTGGCTCCGGGTGACTGTATCCATTTCATTTTGGGTGGCAAACTTGGATGCCGCAACACCTGCCGAGAAGCGAGATAGACGACAAACGTCAGCCAGAAAGCAGCCACTCCAAATGGTTTCATTCAGGCCCTTGTCCATATGTCTTTCTTTTGGAAGTAGCCATTGGGGTTGTTCATGTGGAAGCCTCTGTAGAACCCAACCGCTCCCGTTGTTGGTTACCCAACCCATTTCTCAACCGTCAGCATTGGGTCGCCCGCTGGTTCTTTGCCCGCCATGGAGGGATTGAACTTGATTCCAAGCACGGAGCACAGAGCGATTCAAAGAGTCCACGATTTCGGTCTGAAGAGGGTCCAGGGGAAGCTTCCATTGCCATTCTGAACCCAGGGATCCGTCTTTCAGGAAACCGTCCAAAAACGCTGAGGAAACAGCTGATTTTGGAAAATGAACAACAGAATGGGGGGTCAGCCCTAGAATGGTCACCGTCTTGGCCAATGTCGGTGCAGCCCCCATACATTGTTTCACCCACGAATTGGAAACACCTACGGATAAGGAACCGTCCCTTTGTAAGTGATACGCCCTTGTCTATACATTTCCTCTGGGGGGATATCAGGAGGATGGCAACAACCAACCCTTGTTGGTCGCCTTTGTTTCTGGTAGCACTGCGGTTCATCCCAGTTGATCCAGATATCGATCGAAACTCAGCAGTTTTGATCGGGCAAAGGAAAGCCGGGTTTTGGGGCGGGTGATATTTTGAAAGGGGCGTCACATCTAGAAGGGAAAACAAATAGGTTGAAGAAGGGGAGTTTGCACAGATCGCTTGGAAACACAAAAGTGCCAACGGACGAAATCCGAACACCGAAGCCTCGATGCCAGGATCCCTGGGCCAAGCCAGCGCCCAGTGCCCAGGCTGGGTTCACTTGAACCGCTTAAGCGCCCGTGCGCTTGGAAGTCAGATGCTGACTGCAAATTCACGTGGAACCGACAAAAGAGGGCTTCCCCGCAAGACTTGCCTAGACGGGCTTTGGGGCTTCATGTTAATTTGAAGAGAGTAACCCGTGGCTCCAATATTGAGAGATGCACTTGCACGCAGGATCTGATTGATTGCAGGGCGTTAAACATTGCGTTCGAGTTTAGGTGGCTCTAACTGCTTTGACATCCGACAATTGCCACTTCGAAGCCACGCTGCCGGCAATGCATCGAGACAGGTAGTCGCCAAGAAGCTTTCGTTTGCTGCATAAGCAGCACTCCCACTGAAAACAAAGGCACAAATTCGGAGAGAGGCGTTGCCAAAAGTCATCAGTGACATAGACAACTCTCCTGGGCTTGTGTGCTCCAAGATGCTTTCCACCACCCCCAAACCACCCACGCGGTTTAATGGGATGCACAACCACTCCCTTTTCATTGCAACTATAGAAAGGGTATCTGCCCGTTTTTACCCTTGAGGTAGCTTGGGTTCCTTCATGCACCGCAAGGCCCCCAATTTACGTTGGACATGGCTGTCCCTTCGGATGCCTGACTGATTCTTCCCAGGGTTTCCAAACCTGTGGGCTGGTTTCCTGTAGGCCAAGGCCTTTCTTCCGAACTCCTCGGCCGTGCCGCGTGTTTGATTTCGCGCCCCAGGATAGTTTTCATAGGCGAAATCTCATGCATGCGAACTCGTTGGCCTCATTCGGCTCTTGCTGATAGGCCATCTTGGGATTGGGGTCTTAATTTGGTTGCCCCCTTTCTCCCCTTCGCCGCGTGGCTGTGCCACTTTCCTTTCACAGTCCCAGGGTTTCATTGCAGTTTCACTTCTGGTTGCAAAGCTGGGTCAACGGCGTGAAACTGAAAACTTTCCTCCACACGCTCGGTTGTTTTCACGTCAGAGGAACCAAGCTGCTCAACCCGAGCCTGAGGAAAACAGACCAGCTTCCCAGCACCAGCTTCAGGGTTCTGCCGACCTCCCGAAAGGTGAAAGTCCATTTTTTGGGACAGCTAGGAGACTTCAGGTTGAGGACTGGGACCCCTGCTTTTCGGGATGACTTAGCAACCGCGGCTTGGGCCAGATCCGAAAGCTTTCGGAGGGGCTTTCGGAGGTGATCCTAAAGTCAACGTTTGGGTTTGTCTCAAAGGGAAGTTGACAGAAACGGTTGGTTTCCTATTGGTTTCCCTGGAAATCAACCCAAAGACATATGACCCTCAAGAAAAGACACACACACACACAACCCAAAAAGGCTAGGCCTCGTTTTCCGTGACCAGTGGGTGTCTGGGAGAGGTTCTGGCGTGTCAGGACGACCCATGGAGCCGTGCTGACCCCTGGACGAAAGGCTGGTCCGTGTGTTCCCCCGCTTGCTGCAAGTGGTTCTTCCTTCAGAGGGCCAGGCTCTTGCGAGTTCGGGCCTGGTGCTGGCCCCAAACGGTGCTGTGGTGGTTGCCGGTGCGGATTTTGGGGGCTGGTCACGGTTCTGTTTGCGTGCTGCAGCGGTGCTTGTTTGGCGAAGTACTGAAGATTCTGGTCAGGGAGCTGGGGGTGCTGGTCAAGGTGACGCAGTGGTGGGGCCATTTAGTCGGGGCACTGGTCAGGGTTGGTCAAGGTGCTGGTTGGCGTGCTCAAGGTGCGGTGGCAGTTGCTGGTGGTGCTTGTTTGGTGATGGTCGCAGGGTGCTGGTCAGGATGCTTTTGGTCTGCTCAAAGTGATGTGTTGCATTCAGGGTGCTGGTCAGGTTGCTGGTTAGGGTGTGTGTGTGTGTGTGTGTTCAAGGTGCCGCGGCGGTTGCTGGCAGTTCGTGTTTGGCGCTGCGGGCTGAAAGGGTGCCTGTTAGGGTGCTGTTGGGTTTGCGGATTGGGGGCTGGGACATCATTCTGATGTTGTGAACGCACATGTTGCCTATGGGTCATCTGGTTTGGAATATCAGCAGCATGCTGCCCCAAATCGTCATTCAGTTGTTTGCCAACGCGTGGCATGTGGTTGTTCGTGGTTGCAGCATCATCATCACCATCATGATGCTGTCTAAGCCATCATTTGCTGACTTCATTCCATTCGCCACGTAGAATGCTTGGTGGCTGTCCTATCATTATGATTCTGTCGGAATCAGCATGATGTTGTGCCAGCTTTGCCAGGCCCCGCCGGCAAGGACGGGGTTGGGTCGGAAAAAGCACCTGGGTGCGGGTGGAGTTGCTCTTTGGAACATTGGCGGCTCATTGTCCACGTTTCTGGCTTAACCCCGGTTGGTTGGCTGGCTGGCTGGTTGGGTGGGTGGGTTGGTTGGCCGCATCAACATCACCATCCTCACTTGGACCTAGGGCTGCCTATTGGACTTGGGCTCTGATTTGGTGCCAAACTACGTTTGTTTTAGGCTGGTTCAGTTAGGCTCGGCAAAGGGCTGATCTCCAGGCTGCTGCTGGTGGGTTTAGGTTTGGGCCTGGCTTGGAGCTGGATTGTGCTAGGTGTGCAGCTGCTTTAGCAGTGGCTTTAGGGTTGCTTTAGGGTGTCATTGAGTGAGCTTTGGGCTGATGTGGGATTGGTTTTCGCCCAGAACTCACATAACCACATCCTACAGCAATGACCTTCCCACAGCTAAAGCAGCCGGGGCAAAAAGCCGCGACCAGCAAAATCAACACCCAACCGTCTTCAGTTTCATGTCTTTTTTGCGGCGGGAGGGGGAGTCCTCTCAGGAAGCGAGAGACATCTTATCGTTCAAATTCTTTGGGACCCAGGCAGATGGCATGATTAGTTTCAGCGTTGCCAGTCCTTTGTTCAGCTTGAACAGCATTCTAGAGTGCGACTATTGCGTCTTGGATGTGCTCAACTTGATGCCAGGTTCTGGTTGTCGCTCACGAATTCGCGACAAAAAGGTGAGCAGTGGCGTACGGAACAAATATCAACAGGGGAACCTTTTTTACAGGAGCAACATGGCCCATCTTTTTCGGGCTTCCAACAAAATTCGACGAGCCTGACATGATGTAGTGCACCTGTTTACCAACATCCGTCTAAGTGCCTTCCAACTCCCGTTTGAAGCCGCTGTGGAAGCAGGTTAGAGCCAGGGTCATAAAGGAACCAGTAGACTAACATGGAGCCCACCAGTTTTTTTTGTTTGTCTTCCAGTACTTGAGTTTCTTCTTTTTTTGTCTCGTTTGCGTCTTCTTTGTTGAAGGAGGACTCTCTCGGCGACGTCAGTTCCCTAGTTCTATTTTATGTTGGCATTGGGTGCCCAAATCTCCATTTTGGCTGGAAGGGAACTAAGCACTATCCCACGCAATGGTGGCAACCTAGGTTGATCTTCACATAGGGTCGCATCTGTTCAGGCTGAACCTCGAGTGACCTTCGACAGTCGGCCACAGGCACCAAGACTGGGGGTGGGGGGTTTCTGAGACCTCGCAGATGATGTCGTTTTGCGCACTTTAGGTTTGCTGAATACGATTGCCAGACTCTAAGATGTCGTGTTTAGTTGGGGGCAAAAGCTGAGGTAGACTAGTTGGGCGCCGTTGCTGAGCAAATGGAAGTTCCCAAGCACCAGCGTGGGACCTACAAAAGCGGGTTGCTGCACCAAAACAGGGTGTGCTTCTACGTTTCGGGAGAATAGGACAAGGACCCCCAAGCGTGCTTAGTTTCCTGTGGTTGAACAGAATTCTGAGACAAGAAGACGGTTTTGGAATTGACATCGTCAGCCCGGAGCCTCTCCAGGGCTGGCTCAAAATATTGGGAAACATGAACCCTTCAAAGCACAACCCACATGAGGGTGTTCAACCAGGGGTTGAAGCACCAGTACGGAGCCCCACTCCGCCTTTACTCAGTCACCTAGCTCACTCCCAGACTAAGCATTCCAGTGTACTCAGAATTGGTATTCACTGCGGCTTTTTGTGTGGCAACGCCTCGTTTGCTGGCGCTCCCTCAGACAAAACTCGGTTGCTTTCTTCTCTCACCCAAAGCCTTGTGGCATGGAGCGTTAGAGAGGCGCTTGGGCCAATGGTCTTTCACTGAGCTGCGCATGTCGTAGCATGTACACAAACGAGGTTGCATGCGGGTAACCAGCCCACCCATGAAGCCTCAATTCAGCTTGGCGGGATGAATATGTGTTTTCTAGTTCAGCACATCAATGTCACTTCAGAGCACGAAAAGTATGGCCTTTCTGCTGCCTTTCTGGGCATGGACGGGTCTTGAATTTGCCACCCGGAGTGGCTGATGGAATGCTGTTGGGGATTGTCTTCAGCTTGAATTGCCAGGTGACCAACATCCAGGCCAGCTATGTGCGGACCCCAGCAAGGCAGGTGTCCATTCTAGACCAGTTTGGTTAAAGATGCATGGCACTGAGTTCGCCTTGATTGCAAGCAATTCCTAGCGCCATCTATTTGCTTTCCAACCGGCCAGAGGCACGCATGTTTGGGATGTGCTTGGCGCGCCTTTGTGGGTTGATGTTTGGCGAGCAGACGGTCGGATTCGTTCGACTCGGGTCAGCATCATGGTTTGCGACACTCATCCTTGTTTGCTTCATGTGGGACCTGAAGCACACCAACAAGAAACGGAACTCCGGGGCCATGTCGCTTCCTGAGGATGGCTTTTGTTGGCATTTGGAGGATTGACCCCAGATTAATCAACCCCAGTTTGAAGGGGTGTCCCTAGGTTTCGTGGGCAATTATCACTGTTGGAGGGGCTCCCACCCCCTATGCAGAAGTTGGGGATTAATATGGGATCAACATTAGGCTTGTTACTTCTTGCTGTGAGCTCTGCTGATCTTTTGGCTCCAGTGAACGTGGCCGTCGCAGGTGGGGAGCGTCACGGAGAGAAGATGCCCCTTGTCAAGGATCACAAAGTGAAATTGGTTGCCCGTTTTGTGGGTTCGAAGGTTGGCAACCGTCCAACTTTCGGAACGTCCGTCCATTTTCGCGGCTCAGCTGCGCCGACTGACCCACGCGATTCCAAGAATATCCCGGACTAGGATTCGAGCTGTTGCCTCCAGGCGAGGTGTGTCCCAAGCCAGACCTGTTCCATTTCCCGTTTGGTTTCCCTGAAAAGTGCTTCCCAATTTGTGGACACCCCTTTGTCTGAACCCGATCTTATCTGAGGCAAACATTTACCACATCTTTCCCAGCCACGGCTTTGCGATTTCAACGGTTGAGCCAACTGCGCACGTTTGTCGTTCTTGCATTTCCCGAAGCGTCCCATTTAAACACCGAAGCTACGGCACTCGGCATTCAAGCTTCCCCAGTGGAGATACGCGCACCTTGCCATCCTTTCGGCGAGTTTTAGCCGAAGTCGCCGGACTGGCGATGGATGGAGTGCCGCGCCGGCGAAGGGACGAGGAGGGGGGCAAGGCCAACGCCAGCCGCAAGGAGCGGGTGAGACAGCTGCAGGCACAGTGCCCCGCTGGAAATTGGAGGATAATGTTGATCCTATATTATTAAACTCCAGTTCATTACTATTGGGGTGTTCCCCTCCAAAAGTGATGATTCCCCACTAAACCCAGGGAGATCCCCCGTTAATAAACAGGGGTTGAATAATATGGGGTCAACGTTAGTTTTCGCCAAAGCGGAGGTTCTGGTTTTGATTGTTGATCTCGTGTCGGATTGAAGCGGCGAGCCTTCTTCACTTTTGGAGGACAGACACCCTTATCAATGTGGATCAATCTGGGGTCAACATTACTGCCCGTGGGTGTTTGGTGCAGTTTGCTTCAAACCTGCTGGATTTCCATTCTGGCGTTTGTCCAAACAGGGGCCCCCTGAACTGTTTGATTCTAAATACAAAACCAAAAAGGGCGTCCCTCTGGAGAAACTCCCATCTCACCTCCGAAAGGGTCAGATTGTTTTCGCTGTGGTTCGGACAGAGGGTCCATGCGAATCTTTCGGCGCCATACCTTCAGCGCTCCCACGGTTGCAGAACTGTGCAGTGGCTTACCATTTTTGCCTGGCCTTGTTCCCCAGCGACAGCTAGGTGAACACGATGGGTTTGGGGTCCAGGTTCTTGGAAGGTTGGTTCTGGGAATATTCCCTCCAACATTTGGGATAGAACCCGATGTTCCAATGGTTCAACTGAACGGTGTGTTCCGTGGGTTCCACTTTTCTTGTTTGCCTGTTGATTTCAGGTCAGGCCTTGGCCCCTAGTTCTGTTGTGCCTGATGGACTCGCGTGGCAGACTCCGAGCACATGCAGGCACCAATCACTATATAGCCCTTCCGGCCTTTTTGCAAAGTACAATGGCAACCAGGTCCCTACTTCATGATAGATATTTGCTAGGGGATCCCTTCCTTCTGAAACAATGCTAAAATGTGTCTAGAAATCTTGACTGAGTTTTACGCTTCGAGCTTTCAACATGGACGTTCCCTTTTGGAACCCCGCCGTTCTGGAATCCTGTTTTCATGAAGGTTTTTCCGCTCAAAGGAGCTAAAAGTGCATTGGGCTGTGTAAAACAATCAATGGTTTTTACTAAAAGCAAACAAACAAACAAACAAACAAACAAACAAACAAACAAACAAACAAACAAACAAACAAACAAAAACACACAACCACACAACCACACAACCACACAACCACACAACCACACAACCACACAACCACACAACCACACAACCACACAACCACACAACCACACACACACACACACACACACACACACACACACACACACACACACACACACACACACACACACACACACAACACACACACACACACACACACACACACACACACACACACACACACACACACACACACACACACACACACACACACACACACACACACACACACACACACACACACACACACACACACACACACACACACACACACACACACACACACACACACACACACACACACACACACACACACACACACACACACACACACACACACACACACACACACACAAACACACAATCCCACACAATCCCACACAATCCCACACAATCCCACACAATCCCACACAATCCCACACAATCCCACACAATCCCACACAATCCCACACAATCCCACACAATCCCACACAATCCCACACAATCCCACACAATCCCACACAATCCCACACAATCCCACACAATCCCACACAATCCCACACAATCCCACACAATCCCACACAATCCCACACAATCCCACACAATCCCACACAATCCCACACAATCCCACACAATCCCACACAATCCCACACAATCCCACAATCCCACACAATCCCACACAATCCCACACAATCCCACACAAACCCACACAATCCCACACAATCCCACACAATCCCACACAATCCCACACAATCCCACACAATCCCACACAATCCCACACAATCCCACACAATCCCACACATCCCACACAATCCCACACAATCCCACACAATCCCACACAATCCACACACAATCCCACACAATCCCACACAATCCCACACAATCCCACACAATCCCACACAATCCCACACAATCCCACACAATCCCACACATCCCACACAATCCACACCATCCCACACAATCCCACACAATCCCACACAATCCCTCACAATCCTCCACACAATCCCACAACAATCCCACACAATCCCAAACAATCCCACACAATCCCACACAATCCCACACAATCTCACAACACTCCCACACACTCCCACACACTCCCACACACTCCCACACACTCCCACACACTCCCACACACTCCCACACACTCCCACACAATCCCACACAATCCCACACAATCCCACACAATCCCACACAATCCCACACAATCCCACACAATCACAATCCCACCACACACACTCCCACACACTCCCACACACTCCCACACACTCCCACACATCCCACACAATCCCACACAATCCCACACAATCCCACACAATCCCACACAATCCCACACAATCCCACACAATCCCACACAACCCACACAATCCCACACAATCCCACACAATCCCACACAATCCCACACAATCCCACACAATCCCACACAATCCCACACAATCCCACACAATCCCACACACTCCCACACACTCCCACACACTCCCACACACTCCCACACACTCCCACACACTCCCACACACTCCCACACACTCCCACACAATCCCACACAATCCCACACAATCCCACACAATCCCACACAATCCCACACAATCCCACACAATCCCACACAATCCCACACAATCCCCCACAATCCCACACAATCCCACACAATCCCACACAATCCCACACAATCCCACACAATCCCACACAATCCCACACAATCCCACACAATCCCACACAATCCCACACAATCCCACACAATCCCACACAATCCCACACAATC